TATATATATATTGCATACAAATGGAAGGTTCTACTAGGATTAAATTCTCTTTGCTTTGCTTTGATTCGAAGGACAAGATTTCCCCTTCAGCTCCTTCAGAAAGTAGATGGAAGAAAAGATGTGTTGAAAAGCAGCAGCACATTTTTTCTAATAGAAGGCTTGTTACGAGAGTTCAAATGAACAGAAAATATGATCAAAGTGTTACAAAGCCTGTGATACAACCACTTTCAATTTAATTTATTAAAATCTCTCCAGTAAAATGACCACAGAATAAAAAGAAAACGGGTTTTCTTCTCTGAGAGGCAATAAAGAAGGTGTTTTTTTATAAGCAGACAGAATTTTTACTTCTTTTCACAGTCAGTACGACCTGTCTCATCTTTTTTTTACTCTCTAAAAAACACCTGAAGCTTTGTAGTGTTGCAGGTCTGAAATATTGAGTTTGAWCTTTTTTCTACAATGTCAGAACTGTTAGTCCTCACTTCATCTCAGTTATAATATTTAAAAAATGCACYGTTTCTTTTTTCTGCAGAACACCAACAGTTATTAGAAACCATCTTATTTGTGTAGTTATTTCTCTATATTTTGGTTCCTTATCATTTCCATTACAAAGAAAGCAATAAAAATAAAACAATACATTTACTTAAAGTTAAAGTTTTAACAGATATTCAGGTAGTAACATGCAGAACTGACTGGTGGGTCTTGTTCTTTTTGTCATGATTAAAAAAACAGCTAAAGTTTTATCTATATAAACATAATTCAGATAATTCACTGTAGGGAAAAAAAATAAGCCCTGAAAAGTTGAGCGTCTTTTATCCAACTTGTTCTGCACTTTGGGAGTTTGTCTCAAAGATGATCATGTTTGTCTCCATCAGTTGACCCACTTTCGACCCGTTATTCTCTGATTATAATTAGTAGTTTGAACTCRGTTTGGTCCTGCCTGTTTATCAAACTTGCTTTCATCTCTCAAACCTTTTTAAATCCCAAAGGTCTTCAAGAGGAGGTCTTTTGATTTTGTACCCAGTGGATTTAAACCTACACTGAGGCGTCTTTCTTTCTTTCTTTTTTCTTTTTTTAGCACAGTTCCTAAAAAAAACACTTTAATATTCGCATTTTCTTTTCGGTAATAATTGCTATATGTTCATGTGTTTTATTTAATTCAGCTTTATTGGTTTTGCTGTTTTGAAATTTGACTAGTGTGCAAKCCTTTTCAAAATAAACTGCTAATTTTGCACCTATTTTCAACACAAATGCTTCATAAACATTGAGATTTGTTCAGATCTAATCGTCTGTTTCAGGCTCTGGTGGACGGTAATGTGAACACCTACCTGATAAAAGGACTCAGCCCCGACTCAGAGTACGAAGTCCTCCTGGCTGCCATCTATGGGAACGAGGTTGAGAGCGATGAGGTGGTCCTCATAGAAACCACAGGTAACTCCAACCTTGCTTATCTCAAACCTTCCTTCTTCTCTGTCTGTGTAGATAATTTTAAAATAGTTAGTTCCTTTTTAAGCCTCAACTTCTGATGAGAAATCATTTATGTATCAACTATTATTTTTCATTTGGTCAAAAACCGACAAGTAGGGGTCTCTGCAGAACGTGTTGTCCTGTGGGCGGAGACGGCCCATATCGTCATTGGCCGAGGTCTTAATGTGGGCGGAGATGTCCCTGCTCGTGATTGGCGGAGGTCTTGATGTGGGCGGAGACTGCCCAACTGGTATGGAAAGCCTGCGGTGCCAAATACACATGACATTACGCRTCAATTTGATGTGTCAACAATGCGTAATGAAGCGTCAAATGAAGTGTCAAAGACGCATCAAAATTTAACGTTTTTGACACGTTAACTGCATGTAAAACTCATGTGAAGTACGCGCCAACAATGCGTACTTTACACGTTGCTTGCGCCTTATTTGAGGAGCAAATTCATATGTTTATGTCCCTTTGGGTAACTTCACTTCCTGACGGTTTAGGTCGCGTCTCTTCTCATTGGCTGTCAAGTGCAGGGCTAAACCACTTCAGCAAAAGAGAGGTAAAGAAGCTACATTTCTGCTTATATTTTAATTTTAAAAAGCCAGATGCTTCTTTTACTTTTTAATGAAGTTATTAATAAACCTAAGAACTGTTTAATACACCTGGTTCTGTTTCCTATTTCTGACCTTAATTGCCAACGACTTATATGTAAAGTAATAATAATGTTATAAAGATAATTGTTTTCATTGTCAAAGACAATGAAAACAATTCGCTGGCTTTCGATACTCCCCGCTGCCTCCAGCCTCCTCAAACCCCATCATCAATCCAACCAATCACGTCTCTTGGGCCATCTCCGCCCACATCAAGACCTCCGCCAATCACGAGTAGGGCCGTCTCTGCCCGCATCAAGACCTCCGCCAATCACGAGTAGGGCCGTCTCCGCCCACAGGACAAAATCTACTTCAGAGACCCCTTACTCAAAACCGAACAGAGGATTGAAACAAACTGTATAAACCATGTAAATGAGTAAATATCAAGCAGATCAATTAAATATTTTTTGTCATTTTCAGCTAAAAGAACAACTACTGTTGCTACAACAACCACAGTAGTAGCAGGTACGTTTTCCAGCTGTTGTGATGAGAAATCTTTCTGTCTCTCTGCTTTCATCTCTTCTCTGCTTTTCATCTTGAAGGTTTGCCATTTAACATTTTATCTGCTGGTAAAAGGATTTTCCACATCTACCAGTTATTCGTTTTACTAGAAATGCTTACGTTTGGAAATGTGCTACATTTGATGAATCAGTTCTATTAATATTACAGATAAAAAAATGAGCAGAACGTTGGCGAAGATTTCATGTTTCTGATAAATTTCTAAATTTATTCTCATGACAGGAGGCAGGAAGCTTATCGTCCATCATGAGGGTTTCTGACACTTTCTGCAGGGAAATAGATTTGATATTAACAAGACAGTGATATGAATGTGCAGTAAATTAAATGCCAAAACATTTTATTATCTTTTATTTATGTCATATWCTTTGATGGGTTTCTACTTTTATCAGTTATTTGACTCTTGTCTGCCCTGTGATTTCATCTTTTAATATTTTTCCCCCCGTCTGTGATCTTGAAGCTCCTCGGTACGGGGTGAAGAATATAAGGATTGATGAAGAAACCACATTTAGTATGCGGGTGTCGTGGCAGCCTGTGGACTCCAGAAACGTCCGTCATTATCGACTGACCTACATCAGCGCAAAGGGAGACAGAGCCGAAGAGACAGTAAGGAGGAAAAAAAAAGCTAATGTTGCTTTTGATATTCTGAGAAGCGGCTTTTAAAGGATAGTTTAAAGAAGTAATTGATGCAGAAGATGTCCATTTTATTTTCTTTTTTTTCTAAAGAAGAAAAGTGAAATTTAATAGGAAAGAGTGAAAGAGAGTTTAGAAGATAAGTTAAATATATATCGAGGAAACACAAGACAACACACCTGACATCTTGGCTGCACACCTACAGAAACAGAGATAACAAAAACACAGCAACGAAAATGCATTTCTGTATAATTATAATGATTATAACCTTGAAACATCTTACTTGAAGATGTCCATTTCTACTGAATGGGTTTGAAATAATAATGGGTTATTGTAGGAAGAGTTTGAGGAAATCTAAATGAGACCTATGGTCCTGCTAACAGGATACATACCTTTTAGTGGTATTTGGACTGCGGCTGGATTCACCCATAGTTAGAATAGTCACAGAGTAAATAGCTTGGCTTTCCACGAGTCATTTAGTGTCGAGTTGCTCCTATTTTACATCCAAATAAGAGCAGAAAGGATGTTTCAACTGGGGGGACTAAGCTATTAGCAAATTATTTCAAGTTATTTTYGTGTAATTTGGGCTTAAACTTAGAGCTTAAGTAGTTTTGTAATAGTTTGCACTAAAATACCGTTGTAGATTTTTTTTTATCAAGCATAATCAAAACACTGCAAACTAAATTAGTTAAACTCGAGGCTTGCTGGCCACATTTAGACTCTCATCTTGCCCCCCCACCCAATAAATAAATAAATAAACAAATAAATAGATAAATAAATAAAATGAAAATAAATCACTTAGTACCTTTCAGTGTTTTTTAAGCGAACATGTTAAAACACTGTTTCTATGCAGGAAATACAATGTAGAGCTTGGTTATTGTGTTTTAGCAATGTGACGAGGAACACAATGTTTTGTGTTTAGTCGAAGTTAAACATGAAATGTCAAAGTTAAAGGGGCAATATTATGTAAAATCAACTTTTTTGAGTTTTACATCATGTTATAATGTTATACTCTCATAAAAAACACGCCCAAAGCCTTGCTTTGACTCATTCACGCATGTTTGAGAAATCCTGCAGCGTTTTTAGGAAGCCATGCTGAGGAGCAAAACAACAGGTGGAGACCAGAAACACCTCTGGGACGTGTCTTTAAGCCGAACTTCCTCATGGCAGAGCACCCCCCACCCCACCCCTCCCCACGCACCCCGTCCA